AACTGGCTTTCCATATGCAGAAGACTAAACCTAGGCCAATATCTCTCATCATGCACTAAACTAAATAAAATGGATGACAGATCTAAATATTAAAACAGAAACACTAAATCTGCTAAGTAGAACTCTTGAAGATATAGGTGTAGGCAAAGATTTCATGAACAAAACCTCGATTGCACAGGAAATACTACAAAGAATCACCAACTTGGATCTCATCCTATTAAAAAGCTTTTGCACAGCAAAAACATTACCAATAAAGTGAAAGGACAGTCCACAGAGAGAGGAAAAAATTTGGTCAGTTGTCCCTCAATCAAAGGACTAATATTTAAAACATACAAACAATTTAAAGAAAAATAAGACCCCCTAAATTTAAAGACCCAATTCAAAAATGGGCATCTGCAATGAATACACACTTCTCAGAAGAAGAAAAACATATGGGAAATAATCATATGAAACATGTTCAACATCACTGGTCATTCAAGAGATGCAAATTAAAACAATGCTGAGACTCCATCTCACTCCTGGAAGAATGGCAATTATCAAGAAATCAACTAATAACAAATATTGCCAGGACATGGGGAAAAAGAAACCCTGCTCCACTCTTGATGGGAATATAAAGTAGTGCAACCACTGCAGAAATCAATGTGGAGATTCCTCAATAAACTAGGATTAGAGGTCCCATTTGACCCAGCAATTCACCTGCTGTCTATCTTTATGGAAGAATTAAAAACGTCAGTGATGTATACATTCCCATGTTTTCAGCAGCACAGTTTGTAATACCTAAATCTTGGAAACAACTCAAATGCCCAACTGAGGAATGGATTTACAAAGATGTGATTTTTTTATACAATGGAGTACAACTCAGCCATAAAGGATAAACTTGACATATTCCTAGGTAAATGGATGCACCTTGAGACCACACATTAAGTGAAATAAATCATACACAGGTGTAAATATCACATTGTTTCCTTGGTGTGAGAAACCAAAAGGGTAGATTAGGACTGAAGTGTATGTATAACAGGTACTATGAAATAGGAAAAATTATTCAAAATAAAGGGGAACTAGGGAGGGAGAGGGGGAAGGAAGGAAGGGAGAAGAGTAAAAGATTTAAAAAGGATAAAATGGAAATAAAACTTTGTAAATAAGGAGGGGACAAAGGATTGAAGGGAAAATAGGGAATACGAAAAAAGAAGAATCAAGATATATCATGTACAGGTACAAATTCCCTATGATGAATGTGATCATTATGTGTATCTAAATTGTACTGATAAACTAACTATATAAATAAATAAACACACAAATAAATTTATTTGGGCACTTATTTACAAAATCCAGCTTTAATAAAAAACTGCTAAATCAGCCTTGATATATGATCACCCTCCATATCTGACCAGGATCTTTGTCTTCAGCCATTATCCCAGATGACACCTGAGCCCATGACCCATCTTCAGCAAGTACACTGTTAGATTCCTTTACCCCAAATTCTCTCTTACTCTGATGTGTCCTCTCTATTTTTGGTTCATTGACCCACTGCCCTGCTCTTTGGCTATAAATTCCCACTTGTTCATCCTATGTTTAGAGTTGCATCCAATCTCATTCCTTCCCAACACAATCTTATTGCAGTGGTCTTTATACCTATCATGATGGCCCTGAATAAAGTACTCTTTACCATGAATTAACAAGAGTCACTGAATATTTTTTCTCCTGTCGTACTTGGTATGGAACTGAGGGTCTCATGTGTACTAGGCAAAGTGCTCTACCATCGATTTACGCTTCCAGGCCCTGAATACTTTTTTCTTTTTACAGAATAAAGAGATTATTCTGTAGAGACAAAATGGAACCCACCGATTGAATATTCTTTCATATCTTTCTGCTTTACTTTTGGATGTAAAAATTTAAATTTACAGAAAAAAAAAAAACAAACGAAAACTGGATTACTGCCTTGGTTCTCTGGTTCTATTGTAATGACTGTCCTTGGAGCAATGCTACCTAACGACTAGCTCTACTGGGGAAAGGCTAGAGGAACAAAAGGAAATGGGAGAGGACCACATACATTAACATTCAGTTCAGTGTCAAAGGTAACCCAATAATTATTGAAGCACTTATTGAAATAACACTTATGAGAAACAGAATTTAACAAATTTAATAATTATTACTGGATGAATCATAAAATTTGTCCTAGATTCCTTCATATTTCCCCAATCCATACCTCAGTTTATCTGTATGGTGAAATTTTCTTCAACTGATTGCTGCAAAAAGCAGTGGTTTGCTTTCAACAAAGGTGACATTTTGCCCCGAATCAAGTAAGAGAAAGCAATATGAGGAGCTGTTATCTCAGTGTTGAAATTTGGAGCCTGTGTATCTCTGACAAGGAATGTGTTTGCAGCCATTGCTCTCCAGAGAGATTTAGAGATGGAAGTTAGTATTTTCTTGCTAAGTTCCTCCTCACTGTAATGATTTGAATTAACCACAAACAATGCAGAGGTTTTTGTAAATGAAAATTATCTATATATACAAAGAGCTGGAAGAAAGCAAATTTAACTGCTGTTAAAGATATAAAGTTTTTCCTAGGAAGTGGTTAGTAATACATTTTTCTTCCATTATTTTCTGCATTCTTGTTACTGCCAATCAGCTACATTATGAGAGGAATATGTTACATTTACTGTATTCCCATTAATATTTTAAAATTTAACATTATATCTTAGCATGTTACTTCACAGCTCTTTTTTCTACTAAGCAATGATTCTTATTATAAAGCTGAAATCAATAGACATTTAATGATATAGATGTTTATCATCAGTCAAAAACCCCAAGGACCTAATACAGAACATAGTAAAATAGAGTTTGAATTTATTTTTGCTACTGTACTTTGTGGAACTTAAAAAAAAAAGGTTGTCTTATTTTACTGAGAAAATAATGCTATTCTCAATGTTAACTGACTAAAGGAGTTAAGGAAACATAATTCTGGAAAAAATACTGCACATAACTAGAATGTGAAATTTAAAATCTTTTTCTTCCAGGGCTGGGGATTTAGCTCAGCGGCAAAGCGTCTGCCTGGCAAGCGCAAGGTCGTGAGTTCGGTTCCCGGTACCGGAGAAAAAAAAAAAAAAAAAAAAAAAAAACCAAAAAAAAATCTTTTTCTTCCATATCCCCATTGCTTCTGGTATTACAGTATAACAAGGTATGCTTGAGATTAGTTCTATTGTGATTTTTACACAGAAAACCATTAACTCAATAGAGTCACAAATTTCACAGACTTCCAACCTCAAGGAAAAAGCACTATTAAATGGGTGCTATATTTCTAAACTTCAAACAAGTGCAAATACTTCAAACAAATACTTCACATTCCAACCTAGCCCATTAAATGGATAATTGGACAGACACCAGGAATACACATCCTAAATGTCTGGAAGACACCCCCAAGAACACAGAAAGAATACCAGCCCCAGACCATACTATGTCGCACTCTGAGAGCACACATTCCTTTTTTTCTATGCCTCTCACTGACACATCTTGCAGTGCTTTTATGCAACATAAGTCAGTGAACCACAACCTATACATGAGCTGGATGAGTTGAGGTCCTATTTCTTCTTTGGCAGACCTCCTTGGCCCTTGTCCAGTGACAGAAACATTTGAATTAGGGGCTGGGGATTTAGCTCAGCAGCAAAACGCCTGCCTGGCAAGCGCAAGATCATGAGTTCATTTCCTGGTACCAGAAGGAAAAAAAAAAAAGAAACATTTGAATTAGAATATGTTAACAGTAACATTAGGAGTAGGAAGGGAAATAGTTAAACTTAAGGAAAGTAGAAAATATGGCTCTTGATAGGCCCACATGTTAAAAGAATCTGGTTAGCAATCACAGTCCTCATAATGACAACTAGGTAATTCCAGGTCTAGAATACATAGAGGGTTTTATTTTGTTTTATTTTGGTTTGGTTTGGTTTGGTCTGGCTTTGGCCTTGAACTCATTACATAGCACAGGCTGGCCTTGAACTCATAGCAATCCTCCTGCCTCAGCCTTTCAAGTGCTGGAATTACAGGTATGCACCACTCTGCCCAGCCAGCATATATAGAGATTACAGAAATGAGATACTACCGTATCAGGATTCCAAACATTTTATTTATCAGCTTGCTTGAGTACAAAGTGTCTGGGAATTCCTGCACTCTATGTGTGTCATAATCCTTAATATATGTACCTATTCCTTTATCCTAGCCCATCATAGCTCAACTTGCCCTGCTTCTTTGTACTCTGGAAACCATCTGCAGATTCCTCTCACCTGTCAGGGGGAATTTCATGGTTGAATTTTCCCAAACAATAATGTTCCCATATATTGACATGGCATTATATTGTCACAGCTGGAAGCATTCTTCCTTAATTAAAAAAAATTTACAATAATTATTTTTATACATCATCCTCACTAAATTAACTCAGTATTGTTTCAACTGTCTCTGTTGAGGTACACACGAATAAGAAGTTATAAAGAAAACTTCCCAAATAGTGTTTTGATAATAGGGTAAAGGAAAAGGAAAGAAGAAACTATTTTGTCCAGAATAAAATTTAACAATTCAGAATAAATCTCTGCAAGAAGCTGAGAATTGTGTAAGATTAATTATAAACCCTCAGGGCTCACAAATTCTTCTGCGCTCTGACTCCTCCATAGGTGCTCTCACAGACAGCACCCTTCCCTCTTTGGTACATAAGTAAAAATTTAAAAACCACTAATCAAAGGCAGATATAAGACATTTGAAATGTGCCGTTTATGAAAAGCAAAAGCCTCTGATCAGAGCCAGAGGCTTCTTGACTTCCTCATAGCTAATATTATTTTTTCAGAATATAATACAACTTGAATATATAGCAACATATCGAAGTTAGAAGCCAAATTAGGGTAACAATAGTCACTCCAAGTCTTAGTACTCCTTCAGAATAGGGTGATTTTTTTCAAACCCTTACATGCTTCTGACTGAAAATAGCTTTCATGAATAAGAATAAGGCAGATTCTTACCAGATCAATACCGTGTTTGCGAGGGGCCAGGTTCTCATTCTGTGTAACTGTAGAAATCAAATTACACATGAAGACAATCTTCCCGAGGGACGCTACTTACACAGGTGAACTTCCTGATAGTGCCAGTGAAATTGAAATTCTAAGTCCAGCTGTGTTGATGGAATTCAACATACTCTAATGGACATACACACCATTTTTTTTAGTAAGTTTAATTTAATTAAGGGAAACAAACACAAATCATACATTTGAAGGGATTACTTGACCTCCAAACACGTACTACTGAGAAAATCTCTGTTTGAAGAACCTCTTGTCCGTTTAAGGTACCATCACTACCTGCAGCAGCCTGAACATTAGCAGCTGATTTTAATAAATTATTGTATGTGTCAAATTACTCTTTTCTAACATCTGCCTTAAATACATCTATTTTAAAATCTCAAATTATTGCTCCTAATTACACTAAAATCAGCTGGTTTAAAGAGCATTTTCCTTCCTTTACTGAGATTACCACTTCTAATATTTTCCTAACGCTACTTTAACAAATTTCTCCAAATTTAGTGACTTAAACCAATACAAATTTATTATCTCTCAGTTCTGGAAGGTCAGAAATCCCAAACAGATCTCTTTGTGCTAAAATCAAGATGTTTACATGACCGCATTCCTTCTGGAGGCTGCAGGGAGAAAGTATGTCCGTGCCTTTTCCGGTTTCTAGAGGTTGCAGTAATCATTGGCTTGTTGCCTCCCTTTCATCTTCAAAACTAGCAATATAGGGCAAATCTTTCTGACATAGAATCATCTAACCTCCTTCTCTTTCCCTCTCTCTCTCTCTCTCATACTGTACAAATTTGTGATTATATTGTGCCCAACAAGATATATTCTGGTATTATACTGTGCCCAGCCAAACATAATTAGCCAAACATAATTCTGATTATTGCAGAATAATCACCTGAGATTAGCAATCCTAATTTCATCTACCACCCTAACACTTTTTTGTCATGAAGCTTAACACATTCACAGGTGCTGGAGACTAGTTTGTATACATTTATGGGAAGGCCATCATTTTGACTACCAAGACACTTTAGTATTTATCATGCGTTATATGCTCCCATACTCATTTTTAAATTAAAATATATTTCAGCTTTAAAAGATCTCCTTGTAGGGGCTGGGGATTTAGCTCAGCGGCACAGCACCTGCCTGGCAAGCGTGAGGTCATGAGTTCGATTCCTGGTACTGGAAAAAAACAAAAAATAAAAAATAAAAGATCTCCTTGTAGATTCTAATCTGCTATGGGTTGTATTGTATGCTCCAAAAAAAAATATGTTGTAGTTCCTATCCTCTGTATCTACGAATGTTACTTTATTTGAAAGTAGAATCCATTGGGGTGATTAAATATATATATATAT